GAGCCTGTGTGGACGGAGCCTGAGTGGACCGAGCCTGTGTGGACCGAACCTGTGTGGACCGAGCCTGAGTGGACCGAGCCTGTGTGGACCGAACCTGTGTGGACCGAACCTGTGTGGACCGAGCCTGTGTGGACCGAGCCTGAGTGGACCGAGCCTGTGTGGACGGAGCCTGTGTGGACCGAGCCTGAGTGGACCGAGCCTGTGTGGACCGAGCCTGAGTGGACCGAGCCTGAGTGGACGGAGCCTGTGTGGACCGAGCCTGAGTGGACCGAGCCTGTGTGGACGGAGCCTGTGTGGACCGAGCCTGAGTGGACCGAGCCTGAGTGGACCGAGCCTGTGTGGACCGAGCCTGTGTGGACTGATGGGGGCTTGGGGGCTGCGGGGGACAGCTGTGCCCCACAGACTGACCCTCAGGACGATTCTATTCTGTCCTTGGTGCCTCACAGGACTGGTGCCCCAGGCCTCAGAGTGAAACCCAGCCCTGCCCCACTGAGTCCAGTCCCTGGGCCTGCACCTCCTAGGTGGCCGGCCTGAGCGGTTGGGTGCCCAGGGACCTCAGGAGACAGGGATGGTGGAGGGGGGAGCCTCTGGGGAAGGGGTGCTAGTGAGCCTCAGGAGGAGGCCGAGCAGGGGTGGGGCACAGGGGTGTGGTGGAGAGGAAGCTTTGAGGAACTCCCCGTGATCTGAAGGCACCCTCTTCCTTCTCAGGACCTTCATGCCCCGCCAGGCCTGCCCGGCCCTCAGAGGATCTCAGCACCCTCACGGCTCCTGGCCAGGTCCGAACTCAGCCCGAGTGGTCCCTAAGGGCCTGCTGTCATTGGCTAAGGTGAGTTTGCCTGAAGGCTCAGGGCCCCTGGGGACAGGCTGAGGGGAGCAGCTGTGTTGCCAGGGACACAGCTGCTAGGTACTGGGTAGACAGGTTGCCCACCAGGGACCCTCAGGCACAACAGAAGCACACTCAGGACACATACGTGACACCCAACATGTGCACACACTGACACACATGTGCACAGAGACCCCAACACACGCTGACACATGTGCACACACATGCACAGAGACAAAATGACACCTCAACACATGCACACATGGGCACACATACACAGATACACAGACACCCAAACACACACTGACACACATGTGCACACATACACAGACACACAGACACCCCAACACACGCTGACACACACATGCACACGTGCACACACAGTGACACCTCAACACATGAACCACGTGCACATATACACAGATGCAGACACCCCAACACACACTGAAACACATGTGCACACATGCACAGACATGACAGTGCAGCACATGCACACATGGACACACGTGCACACATACACAGATACTGAGACCCCAACACATGCTAACACACATGTGCACACACATGCACACAGAGACACAGTGACACCTCAACATATGCACACGTGGACACACGTGCACACATACACAGATACAGACACCCCAACACATGCTGACACACATATGCACACACATACACACAAAGACACAGTAACACCTCAACACATGCACACATGGACACATGTGCACACACACACAGATACACACAGACACCCCAACACATGCTGACACACATATGCACACACATGCACACAGAGACACAGTGACACCTCAACACATGCACACATGGACACACATGTGCACACATATGCAGATACACAGATACCCTGTTGGAAATAGATGCTCAGTGCCGCAAAGAAAAATTAGCACTGAGGCAAAGGAGTTTTAGCAACGTAGTTTTTACTTCCTGGACTTCAGGAAGGGCACTCTCACTAACCATCTTGCCTCAGGAGTACAATGAACAAAGAAAAACACACAAATTTATCCCGTACACATTTGGGGTCGTTCTTACTGCTGTGTCTGATCTCCATTGGCTGGAGTCGGACCTCACAATCTAAACTAAAACTCCATTGCCTCACAACGTAAAACTTTTCTAAGCAGGTAAAAGCCATGGAGAGCAGGGACACGCCTGTGAGCACGTCCAGCACAGATATCTTGGTGAAAGTACAAGGACACAGAGTGTACTAGGTGCCGGCAGGCATGGCACATCTGGCAGCCACATAGGATGGGGCTTCACAGAGTTATTAGCACACTTATTCTTTAACAAGAAAGGAAACTTTAAAGAGGAACTTTTGTACTTCCCACACATCCCAACACATGCAGATATAGACACACAGACACCCCAACACAGCTAACACACTGCACACATAAAGACAGTGACACCTCAGCACCTGCACACACAGACACACACATACACGGATACACAGACACCCCAACACATATGGACACATGTGTGCACACATATGCATATGTGGACACGCAGATACCGCAACACACACACTGACACACATGTGCTCACACATGCACACACACAGACACACACTCAGGACCCTCAGGCATGTGCCCTACAATGACCCGCAAACACACAGGCTCTCAAGGGTCCCCCCACATACACACCACCTCATGGACACACAACCCACAAACAATCCCACACCCTCCTGCGCCCTCTCTCACACACAGGCACACTCCCCCCACCTGGGTGTCCCCCGCCTGCACTTGCTGCAGCCCTGGGGAGCAGGCAGGCAGGCCTGGCAGGCTGCTGCAGTTTCCCTGGAAACGCTGTCACCATGGTGGCTTTGCAGAGCCTGGGGTGCAGCTGCAGCCCAGAGCCCACCCTGGAGCACAGGCAGCCAGTGGGCATGGACTGGACATGGAAGAGACGCCTGGTGGAGGGCTCAGGTGGGCGGGGGACAGGCCCCAAGAGACACAGTGGGGCCAGGGCAGCTCACTCTGCGGCTTGGTTGTGCCATCCCTGCCATCCCCTGACTGGAGGAAGTGTGCCCCACCCTGCCCCTGCCTGCCCAGGTCAGCGGTGCCCACAGGCAGAATTGCTTCCTGAGCCCCCTTTTCTCCTGGAGACAACACAGGCCACAGGAGGAAGGAAGGGGCTGGGGAGAAGACGGGGCCTGCAGCCTGGCTCGCTGGGAGGAGGGGTGGATGGGGACCAAGAGCCAGGAATCCGGCATAGCCGGGAGGAGCCAGTGAGCCAGGGCAAGGGGTTAAGTTGGACCCTGATCTCCTGGGCAGGGCGCTGTCCTGGGCCTCGGCTGGGGCCTGATCTCCTGGGCAGGGCGCTGTCCTGGGCCTCGGCTGGGGCCTGATCTCCTGGGCAGGGTGCTGTCCTGGGCCTCGGCTGGGCCAGATGAGGGACTGAGTCCCAAGGCCCTGTGTTGGCAGCGGAACCACCTCTGCCATCCCGGGCACTGTGGGGTATGGTCCCAGGGCCTCCCCACTGGAACGAAGGCCAGGCAGGGCCAGCAGGTGGGAGCACCCAGGCATGTGCAGAGGGTTCATGCTGCCCACAGTTGCCAGGCTGCAGGGACAGAGCATGGGGGCTACCTCTGGGGCTCTTGGTAGGACATGGGGCTGTGCTGGGAGGCCCAGACATCAGGGAGGGGGGATGGGCTTGGAATGGGGATTATTAAAAGTCATGGTGGGGAGGACAGCTGACCCCTGTCCTTCTCACAGGGGGTCTCCAGCACACCCTGCTGCCACTGGCCCCTCGGCCTGGAGCCAGACTCCATGGTGGAGAGGGTGATGGGACAGTCAGAGGCTGAACTGCTGGATGCAGGTTGACATTTGAAGCCTGGCCTGAGGGAGCTGGGCTTTCCCTCGGGCACCGGACTGGACAGGCCACCCAGCTCCTGGCTCTGCCTCCCTCTTGCGTCTGGTGTCAGGACTGATGGGTGGTCAGGGTGCCTGCTGTGAGCTAAGGCCTGACTGGCCCTGAATTCTGGGACCCACACAGAGGGAAGCGACATCTGTGGTCCTCGGAGGAAGGAGTTGAAACAATTAGGGCAGAAAATGGGATGAGTGGGCACGGGTGGGAGAGCACGGCCGGCCGAGGGCGCCTGGGGTGAGGAGTGAGCAGGGACCCTGTGCAGCATCTCCGGCTTGGACTGAAGCCGCCAGGGTACACCCCGAGGGCTGGTAGAGTGCCCAGAGCCACATGACTGAGGCTACCTGTCCTCCAAGCCCGGCTGGATCCTCCTCTCTCTCCAGAGCCTGTGTGTTCATCCACACACTCCCCGTTTCCCAAGGCAGGAGGATTGCGGGATGGGAGCCAGGCCAGGCCCAGGCCACATCTGCTCTGCACAGCTTGTCTGTGAGGTGGTGCTCACAGCCCTTCCTCCAGAAACATCCGCAGCAGCCCAGCCCCTCCCAGGCAGCCCCGCACACAGGCACGCACGAGGAGGCTGCGAGGAGTGTGCCAACAGCAGCATCGACAGCAGCAGTGCTGACAAGGGCGTGATGATGACGAAGACGGTGATGGTGGTGAGACGAAGGTGATGGTGACAGTGATGGTGACAGTGATGGTGATGGTGACGGTGACAGTGATGGTGACAGTGATGGTGACGGTGATGGTGACGGTGACGGTGACAGTGATGGTGACGGTGATGGTGACAGTGATGGTGACAGTGATGGTGATGGTGACGGTGACAGTGATGGTGACAGTGATGGTATGACGGTGACGATGACATGATGAAGGTGGAGTGATGGTGATGAGACGAAGGTAGTGATGATGATGGTGATGGTGATGGTGACAGTGGTGACGGTGACAGCGATGGTGATGTGATTGAGATAGTGATGGTGTGATGATGGTGACGGTGGTGACAGTGGTGACGGTGACAGTGATGGTGATGTGATTGAGATAGTGATGGTGTGATGATGGTGACGGTGGTGACAGTGGTGATGGTGACAGTGGTGACAGTGACAGTGATGGTGATGTGATTGAGATAGTGATGGTGTGATGATGATGATGATGATGGTGATCGTGGCACACCTGAGCTAACTTTTTAGGCCAGCAGCGCCCCCTGCCACTTGCCGGACCCCCAAGGCACCTGCACGCTGCTTGTTCCACTGCGTTCTCCCAGCTCTTGAGCAGTTACTCCCCCAGTCACAGGAAGACACTGAAATGCAGCCGTCGTGCCCGGCGTGTGGCTGGGCATTAATTACACCTCCTTTTGCAAAGTCGAATCCACTTCTCCTGATTAATCTGTTTTCTGTCGGTGTGAGATAATTGGATTCGCTTGGAATTGGCTGTGCACACAGAGCCGTCAGAAGCCTACGTGACCACTTGTAATGGTGGAGATGTTGAAAACAACGCACCTTGTTTTGAAAACGCATTTGAAGTCCCTGTTGGCTCACGTTCCTTTTCTGCACAAGCTTTCTGGAGCGGGGTTTCTTCATGCCTGGGGGCTGTGAACTTGGACAAGGAAAAGCAGCGTCTCTATCTTACGAAGCTCAAACTGAAATCTGCCATTTCCTCCCGTGAGGAGCGACAGCCATTCCAGGGCCTTGGCTCTAATAGAAAACACAGACGTTTCTGTGTCACTTTGTGGTGGCTGCAGGATTTTTAGACTGTCCATGCTCACCTCAGCCTCTAAACCTCAGGGGCTCTGGGCGCTGGGCCGTATCATCCAGAGCAACATGTAACGCATCCACAGCCACCCCACACGTCTGCCTCGTTGATATTCTGACGTCTGTTTCACTACGACTGTTTTCCTCGGTACATGTTTCTGTCCACGTAAATCAGTAATGAATAGTGGAGTGCAGGGATTTTTAGGGCAGTGAAGTTATTCAATATGACGCCGTGATGGGGGACACATGCATCACGCGTTTGTCAGAACTCACAGGTCTACAGCAGCGCTCCCCAGCGTTTTTGGCACCAGGGACCAGTTTTATGAAAGACGTTTTTTCTACAGACCAGAGGCTGGGGGATGATCTGGGGATGAAACTCTCCCGCTGCAGACCCCCAGGCAGTAGATCCTCCTGACGAGCTGGAAGCCCAGCTCCCCGGCATGGGCAGTTCCCAGAAGGGCTTCTGCTCCATGAGACTTTAACGCTGCTGCTGACCTGACGGGAGGCAGCACTCGGGTGGGGACACCTGCCTGCCGCGCTCACCTGCTGCTGTGTGGCCAGCTTCCTAACAGGCCATGGACTGGCACCAGTGCCAGTGCCAATGGTGGGCATGATGGGCACTGTAGGTGGGGATGCAGGAAACTCTCCCTGCTACCTGCTCCCGGCTCTGTAAACCAAAAACTGCTCTCCAAAATAAAGTCTATTTGCTTTTTTAAAACAAACTATTAATTATGAAAAAAATTATCCCCATGCTACCAAAATGCTCCCCACACAGGGAGCACTGCAGATGCCCCAGGGACAGGGCAGTTGGCCCCAGCTCAGCCAGCCCAGCCCCTTGCCAGCAGGCATGCAGCCCATGCCTGCTGCAACAGGGGAGCAGTGCTGGCCTCTGTCCTGCGGCAGCGTGGGCCACCTGGGCCGCCACAGCCCCTGGCTCTGTGGCCAGGTACAGCCACCGCAGTGAATACCTCCGGAGGTGGCCCTGCAAGGAAGGAACATTTCGGCATCCACACGGCACGCGCACACGCATGGGTCCACCATGGCACACGTGTGTCAGCATCAGCAGCCCCACTCTAAGACAGGCCCAGCATGCTCCATCCCCAGCTCTGAGGATCTGAAATTCCTCCTTAGCCAAAATCTTTCCATTCAAAACGCACACGTGTTTTGTTTTCACAGTCGTTACATCCAAAGTAATTAAACCAAAAAGCTCATTTCTGGAAAGAGACAAAGTATTTTGAGTTTCTACATCAATATTTAACATCTGCCTAACATTCTACATACTGCCCTGGTGGGTGATGATTTCTACGCTCCATAAAGGTGAACCCAGCCACAAATCCCTAGAGAAAGAAATACATTTTCTTGTGAGAATCAACTGTAGCATCTGTCTTAACATAGAGTTTGATAGAATTTTCTTTTTCTTATTTAAAAATCTCAGAGCCAAATTCAGTTCAACAATCAAGCTAAATGATTAGCCCACTTTAGAGCTAACGTGACTGAAGTTGGAATTTAACACATGAAACATTTCAGGGGAGAAGTGCGGAGTATGAGACAGAAAGGCAGCTTCCCCTGGAACTCAGCCTGCAGTGGCTGGAGGAAAATGCGCCAATTAGCAGGGGCTTCGATCACGCCAATGTGACAGCTCAGAACATTTGCTGGAAGAGAAAGGAATACTTTGCTCCCCTTCCTGCAGAAACCAAGCCATGCAGAATAAAACTGCAGGCCCAGAGGACACACCAGGGCCTGTAAGGACAGTGCTGGCTGGTGCAGACCCCCCTGCGCTGGGCCCCTGTGTGCTTGTGCCCATCCAGAGATGCCTTGGGGCCACAAATGCTGAGGGCATGTCCAGGGAGCAGGTGAGGCGGAAACACTAAGGCAAGTACTGCCTTCAGGGACACCCGGCTTGTGCCTGCCAGAGCACATCTGCCTGGCACCGGGGCTTCCGGGACCCCACTGCTGAATGCCAGGCTGCCTGGGCAGAGGACAGGCTGCGGGAATGGGCTTCAAGCCCTTGTTGGTTTCCTCTCCAGCCATAGTGGGACACACTTTGATGGGGTGGTGGGGCCCTACTCACCCCGTGGGCAGTCACTGCTTGGAGACACCCTGGCTGCCCGGATGCCCAGGCTGGGCCTCCCCAGGGTCCGCGTGCATCCCATTTGGAGTCCCCACCATGCCCACTGCCCTCTCCCCAGCTGCTCTGGTGGGTGGGGTGCTGGTCTACCAGGGTGGAGCAGGGCCCCCCCAAGACACCAGGAAGTTCAGCACCTGCTCTTCAGGCTGAAGCTGACAGCTGGACCACATCCACTTGCCTGGGACTGCAGAGCACAACCTGGCACCTTCCTGAAGATGACGCACGTGATCACGACCCACAGGACCCAGGGGTTCCACCCCAGGGTGAGCCCAAGAGAAGCGAAAACGCACAGCCACACAGAGACTGCACGGAAGTTCACGGCAGCTTATGCACAGCAGCCAAAAGGCAGACAGCCCGCACGTCCACAGACTGACAGATGGACAGACGCCGTGTGCTCACCTACGTGGGGAGCATCATTCAACATAGAAAGGAATGGGGCACCGACACACACTCCAACACGGGTGCATTGGGAAAGAGCCGTGCTTGGCGAAGGAAGCCAGACACGCCACACACGACTGCACAGCACACGGATCCCATGTTACACACGATGGTGCATCAAACACAACCGCACATCACACGGATCCCATGTTACACATGATGGTGCATCACACAACCGCACATCACACGGATCCCATGTTACACATGATGGTGCATCACACACAACCGCACGTGACACGGGATGCACGTCATACACAGTCGCATCTCACACACAACCACACAGCACACGATCCCATGTTACACACAACCATATCACACACGTCACACAGATCACATGGAACGTGTTACATACAATCATAAATCACACACAACCACACGTCACATGGAAGGCATGTCACACACAACCATATCTCACACACAATCGCATGTCACACGGAACACCAGAACGGGGAGCTTCCCAGAGACAGAGCAGGCGAGGCACTGCTGAGGCCTGGGGTGGAGAGCGGCGCTGAAAGCTGCGTGGCTTCTTTCCGAGGGGGGACATGTTGTAACGGGCCTGTGGGGAGGCTGCAGGTCGTAAACACACTGCGAACCGTGGAGGCGTCCCCTGGAAGGGCAGGAATCCTATATGTGACTCACGTTTCAAACAGAGCTGTTTTTTCAAAAAGACCTGGTTCCCATCTCCCCCGAGGCTTCAGGGACTCCTGGTGCTTGTCCCTGTCACAAATCCTCACCCCAAAATCACACAGCGAACACCTCAAATAAATCATTAGGGCTGTTCTCTTTGTAGCAAGCCAGCACTCGGAGAAATCCATGCTTGAAACTGATCCAAACCGATCAGGGGCCAAGGGCTGGTTGATCTTCTCCACAGCTGGCCCCTGAAAATGTTCTTTGCGGCTGGCAGCGAGCAGTTTGCGTCTGCCTGTGCCATCTGCCATGACTGTCCCCTCTGGGGCTCCCATGGGGGCTGCAGGCTGGACGGGGCCAGGAGGGAGGGGACGGACAGCTGGGAGGACGATGCCCACACTCCACAGTGACAGGAGACAGGCGTTGGCTTGGGCAGAGCTTCGGTGACCTGCCCAGGTTTTCTTCCCCAATTCAGGCCCCAGCTGCGTCTGCAACCCTCACGCCCCAAAGCCTTCTCCTCTGCAGGGGGGACATCCCCTCCTGCCTGGCTGTCAGGACTCAGGCAGACTGGACACAGCTCTGCATCAGCTCTCGGCTCCCACAGAGAGGCCTGCAGCCCGGGGGCAGCTTCCACTGGGCCTCCTGGACCTGTGTCCCCAGCCATGCTGACCACACCCACTGCACCACCCCCACAGTCCTCCCCCAGGCCCTCGGCCCCCACAGGCCTCTACCTCCCTGTCCTGGTGCCCCTCTGCTGTCTGTGGGTCTCCATGGGTCACCTCGCTGCCCTGCTTATCTCCCTGTCCTGGTGCCCCTCTGCTGTCTGTGGGTCTCCATGGGTCACCTCGCTGCCCTGCTTATCTCCCCATCCTGGTGCCCTCCCCCTCTGAGAGTCACCACACTGCTCCCTCATCTCCCCATCCTGGTGCCCCCTCTGCCCTCCAAGGGTCATCCCAGCCACTCCCTCATCTCTCAGGCCTTGTCCCTGCCCAGCAGCGAGTTGAGAACTGGATCCACTCCTGGTCCTCCTGACTCCCTTGGGACTATCTCTCTCACCTCCCCAGCCTTTCCCACGCTCCCTCCCCCGCCCCCCCCCCCCTCCCCCCCCCGCCCCTCCCACCTTCCCTCCCCAGCCCCTCCCACCTTCCCTCCCCAACCCCTCTCAGCCTCCCTCCCCAGCCCCTCCCACCTTCCCTCCCCAGCCGCTCCCACCTTCCCTCCCCAGCCCCTCCCACCTTCCCTCCCCAGCCCCTCTCAGCCTCCCTCCCCAGCCCCTCTCAGCCTCCCTCCCCAGCCCCTCCAGCCTCCCTCCCCAGCCCCTGCAGCTGTGGACACTGACCTGGCTATGGGGCTCCTAGGCCCCTTAGGCTTCAGGCCTTCGGCCCTGCCCACCAGCCACACCCAGGAAGGAAGGAAGCCCCCACTGCCCCGCCCCCTTGAGGCCCTGCAGGGAAGCCCGCCTGCCTCCCTTGGTGGGTGGGAAACTGGCCGCCCTGGGCGAGGCCTGAGGGCCTCACGCGCCTCCCTCTGCGGATCAGTCTGGGGCTAAAAATAACTCTGCTGGGGCAGAGGCTGGCTGGGGAGGCCGCCTCCGCAGGGTGGGGGGGTGTGACGGGAGACAGGCCTGTGACAGCCTCAGCGGGAGCCCAGGAGCAGTGGCCCCAGAGGCCGAGCAGGAGGGCTGCTGATCTGACCTCCCACTGCAGAGAGGCTGGGCAGGGAACAGGAAGTACGTCTGGGGTGAGGGCGGTGGCCCCCAGCTGCAGCACCCCCCTCCACTTCCAGCCCTGTATTGATCCGAGTGAAGCTCCTTGGGGCACAAAGAAGCTTAACCCTCCTGAGCAGACAACGGCCGCCCTTAGGCCAGGGCAGGACCCTTTCCCATGGCTGGGGGTGGGGCTGGGGATGCAGGGTGCAGGGAACCCAGCGGGAGAACCCAGCCCTGCCAAGGCCCTCCCTCAGTGTCCACAGGGAGATGCCCGCGACCCCAGGCAGCTGTTGGCACCTCGGACCTAGGGCAGGAAGGGGAGGGAGCCCCCGGCCACAGGAAGCCACAGAAGGGTGAGCTGGGCACAGAGCTTCCAGGGTGGCACAAGGCCAGGTCTGCAGAGCAAACATCTGTTAATGCCCAGAAAACTCACCGGGAAGTAATGTGCAGAAGGCCGCCAGGGTGGGAGATTGCGGAGTTTCTAATTCCTTTTTTTTTGCCTTTCTTTATTTTGCCAATTTTCTACCACCAACAGAGGTCTATTTGATAATCAAAGAAACAAAAAACCCTTCAGAAAAGGGAAGCGCTGGCTGAGCTCCTGGCCATGGTGCCATCCCAGGCAGGACTTGGAAGGGTCTGGGGCTTTGGGGTCCGGGAACCAGCTGGGGCCCCTCAGGCCTCAGCCTCCCTAGCTGTAAAGCTGTAATGCAGCCCCAGTGAGGGCACCTCACCTGCTCTTGCCCCTCCCCCTCCTCCCTGCCTCTCCCCAGCCATCCACCCCCACCCACCAGGGCCAGGGCTGTGCCGCCTGCACTGCGGAGGTGCCTGCCCAGCCCCACACAGCCAGGCCACAGGGCTGGAGCCCAGGGCAACCCAGGCTCGGCCCCAGAAGGCAGGCCGCGACTCCAGCCCAGGAGCCCACACGGGCCTCGGCTGCTTCCCGGCCCACTCCAGCCTCCCCAGAGGAGGTGGGTGGGCGGGCGGTTGTGGGCAGGGCCTCTGGGAAATGGGACCAGCAGAAACGGGCCACCTGGGGGAGGACCTGCAGCAAGAGGAGGAAGAGGAAGAGGGCCAGAGAGCAGCGCCAAGGCCACGCCAGCTCCTGCTGCCACCCCGGCTCTGCCACCCCTGGCCACGCCAGCTCCTGCTGCCTAACTCTGTCTAGAGTGGGTTGAAAGTGTGACCTTCGGAGGTAGGGATTGGGGTTCAGTCTGGGACCAGTGAGTGACAGAAAACAGACCATGGTCCCCCCACCTGCCACAGTCCCCCCATCTTCCACCCCGAGTCCCCCACCAGCCACCCCGTGTCCCGCCATGCAGCCTGCTGCATGTCCAACACAATGACAGCTGGCGTCGGCAGAGGAGGGTCGGCGGCGCTGGCGGAGACGAGGTGCTGGCGACCCTGTGGAGCTCATCATTCCAGCAGCGACTTCCTGCTGTCGGAGGCGTCGTCCCGGGCCCCCAGCACAGCGCTACTGGGGCCACACACGTAACCCACCCCAGAGCCCCTTTGAAGGTGAAAGGGACAGAGCTCTCACCACGACAAACCCTGCGTAGACAGCCAGGGGTGGCGCGGCCCGGCTGTTCTGAGCAAGGAGGTCTGCCGGGTGGTACCCTTGGGAGGCCGGACCCAGGGCAGGGCAGACCCGAGCAGGAGAGGCCCAGCAGCAGCTCCCAGCAGCCCTGCCGAGGCCCCAACTCCCCCCGCCTCACACCCCTCTTTGCACTCAGGACCTCGTCCTGACTAGGTTGACTCCCCAGGTGCCCCCTCCTATAGATGTACAAAACCCTGCTCCCTTCCCAGCCGGAATTCTTTCCCAGCTCAGCCTTCCTGGGGAGTCCATGGGCGGAAGGGTGGGGATTCAGGACCTGGTCCCGCCCGGCCTGACTGCTGGGTACTGGCAGCCGGGGAGCCCACCTCCCTGGGTCTCTGCTCCTCGCTGGATGAAAGCCCCAGCCCTGGCTCGCAGGGACTCGGGGTTGAAGGACAAGGGCTGGGGCTGGGCCTGCAGAGGAGCTGCGGGTGGCGGGTCAGTCCTGGCCTCAGGCTGGGAGGCGGGTCCAGCGGCTCTCACCTGCAGGGCTAGGCTCTAGCCGCTGGCTCGGCAGCTGGGGGTGAATGTGCCCGGGCTGCACACATCTTTTGTCCCAGGGGTGAGGCCTGCTCCTTCCCTGGGACACACACATTTCTTGAAGCAGTGCCAAGCGTTAGGAAGGCCCTGCCACGTTGCCGCCTCAGCACTTCCCCCAAATCCAGGCAGCACCCCAGCGGCAGGTCAGGCAGAGGCAGCCTCTGGGCACCGGAGCTCAGAGGGCATTCCCGAGGGTCAGGGCCCTGACTCTGCGGCACCCACATGGGCAGGGCCGGGGTGGGGGGACAGAGCCGCTCTTATTCCTCCCACATCTCAGCTCTGCTCTCCTTGAGCCCCTCCCTGGATTTTCAAATGCTTCCCAGGCCCCTTGGACCTGGAGGGCCTCAGGAGATAGCCCAGCCCCTCCAGGAGGAAGTGATTCTGGGTGGTTTTGGTGGAGAAAAGGCTCTGCTGCTACAGATAGGTTTGAAAATCATGCTCCTCCCACAAGTCAGGTCCAGGACCACAGGAAACCACGAGGGTCGTACCCCACGTGGCCTGGAGAGGCCCTCCAGACGTACTGCTCCCCCACCCCCACACGATCGTTGCTGAGAACAGTGATGCCTTTAGAGCACAGAATGTTCTAGCAAAACTGGAAACAAGCAAAGCCACCATCGTCGTCTCTGGGATGTCCCTTGGTTCTGAATGAGCAAATCGAGAAACAGGAGATGAGAGGTTTCCCTCGAATAAACAAGGAACGCAGTTCCCCACGTGCACAGTACCGCCTGGACCCGGAAATCCCAGCGTCCACCGGAAAGCCAGTCGGGTGGCCTGGGACGGGGACTCAGTCCACAGCCCTCCTGGGGCTCAGGGCAGCAGCCAGCACCCCTCCTGGAGGCAGCCGGCGGGGGCGTCACCCCAACCCGTGCGACCGCGGACCCCGCACAGCATGCCCAGGGGACGAGGGCCCCTTCAGCCCGACGCCAACACTCGCGTGAGTGTGAACTGCAGCTGCCGAAGTCACAACTTCAGCAATGGCAACAGGTTTCTCTTTGTTTTTGTTTTTACATTTAAACAAAGAAAAAGCAGATTAATTTTTTTCTTTTCTTTCTTTATTCTTTTTGGTCTTTAAAGTGACAAAAAGGAGGAAAAGGAACGCACTCTTACAAAACAGAGCAAGTTTCTTCTCCTTTTACTGTTG